GCTACGCCTTCTGCTTCTACCACATTCCAGTCCAACATGGATGATTGCAATTTGTGAAGCTATTGTTACCAGAGATTATAGCCATCTCACACACTACCAACAGTGGGGTTCTTTTTGCTGCATGACCAGTGGGTGATCCAGGTTTAGAATCCTGTCTTGAGGGTTTTCTTTCTGTGGCTATTCTGATATCAACTTGCTTATTCTGGGTTTACCCAAAAGCAGAGCTTGGGTCTAGGGTTGCATGCAAGCAGTTTATTTGGGATGTGATTCAAAGAAGCAGAAAGGAGGGACCAAGCAAAGTGAACTAGGGAAGGAGACAAAGGCAACCCTCGGCTGCATTATTAGGAGATTGGTGCTTGTTCCTGCTGAGCCTTTCTGCAGACCTCTGTCGAAGGGGCAAACTGAGAGGCATTTCCGTCCACTGCTTGTGTGCAGTTCTGGGTGTGCTGTGTCAGTACCAACAGGCTCCCACATTGTCCTGCACCACAGTGCCAAAGAAACCCTGGACAGGAAACAAGAGTGTGCGGTCCACTCGAGGTGAGATACTGAAAAAGAGTAGAAGCTTGTGTGGAATCATCTGTATCACAATCAAATGTGAGAAAAGGAGGTGTACACTAAAGGTTTCCAGTGCATATGTTGGCAGAGCTCTTGGGACCCAAGGGTAACAATGCAGCCAGTTACAAATGTATCTGAAATCAAATACTCCAAATTCCATTAGGTACTCTCCCCATATCTGCTTTTCTCTGGACATCTGCTTCATTTCCAGGCCCTGGAAGTATAGCTTTGTTTGATTCACAAATGCTGGGTGAGTGGGAAATGACCATCCATGTCTTTTGTGTTTACCTGTTCTCTACTCAATATGGTAACCAGACTGACCCAAAAGCTCTTTGTTCCAAGTTCAGGATCCCTGAAATTCAATTTGATTGGTTCAGCTTGGGTCAGGTGTCTCCTGCTAGTCTGACATATTTGAGCCAGTGGAGCAGGATCATGTGGTTACAACATTATTGATGAAAATGCAGTGCTGTTGACATGGTAAAGGGCAGGGTTGTTGGCTGATGAGCTAAGTAGACTCCCCTTTGGAGGGGGACACCTTTTGAAGTATCTGCTACATCAGTCAAATCTATCAAAACCTTATGATTTCTATCTTTGCTGTAATACTGAGAAAGTCTTTCTCTACCCCATGGATATATGAACACATGTTTTACATTTCTTCCAATATTTTTATGATTAAAAAATTCAAATATTTAATTCACATGCAATCTACTTAGATACAAGTTATGAGATAAGGACCTAACTTTAAAAAATGGTCACACACACAAAAAGGTAACCAATTATTTGATAATCTATCCTCTTCCCATTGATTTAAAATACATTTTTTTCATATACAAAATTTGTGTGTGTGTGTGTGTGTGTATGTATAGCTTTTAGTACTGTCTCTGAAGCTTCCCATTGGCTTGTTCATCTATTACTGTTTTAAATATATCTGTAATGCTTCAAAACTAATATGTGTGCTGTGAAAACAATTACTCCCATTGGTTTTAAATTCCTCTAGTGGAACAACTTTTATACCTTCATGTTTTCTAGCATG